TCTTTCTCCCACACCCTGGGAAAATGTGTGTCCTTCTTCCTCCTTTTATTCCTCCCAATTCTATCATTTTAGAAGACATCTTTAACATTGTTCTGCAAATGTATAAAAATACAGAGACTGTTTAAAGTGCTGAATCTTCATGCTATGTTCAAACTCTTAGAATCTTTCTTTTTTTTAAACGACTTAGTAGTAAATCCCTAATTTAGTCCCAATATCACTAAATAGGCAATAACTATAGTTTTCTGTTTGGTCACCACTAATACAAGCATTGAAGAGATAACTAAAAGCTATTGTTTGCAATTTGTACTGTTTCCTTTCAATGGTTTTGGCACCAGACTGTATTTCTAGTAATACTTCTTAAGTAATAGAATTCCCACGTCAGAAGAAAATCACAAACATAGGTCATGTGACCACCTTTTGCAACCTTCTGACAAGCAAAGTCAATGGGGATGCCAGATTCACTTAACAGCCATGTTGCTAATTGAACAACTGCAGTGATTCACAACTGTGGCAAGAAAGGCCATCAAACGGGACAAAAATCATATAATAATTGCCTCACTTAGAAAACAGAAATGTTGGGCCCAACTGTGGTTGTAAGTCAAGGACTATCTGTATAGCCTTGTTTGGATTTAAAATTACTACATGTAGTAGCATAATCTTGGAGAGAAATATGATGGGAGGACCACAATGTGATGTTAAATTATATGCTTAAAACATAGAATTTGTCATCTTGTGAAGAGCTTAGCTCTACTGAGCCTGGGATATGGGAAAGAAGATAGTTCTACATAAGTGGAAAGACAATTATTCTCCTGATTTTTTAAAAAATGGATTCGGGATATAACTGTGTGATTTGTTTTTAAAAAATCTTTGCATTGTAAAAATGAGATGATTCGGCCTGTTGCTATAGGGTCAAGACTGAGTTATAAGTTTAATGGTTGAATTAATGTTATATGCTGCAGTTATTTCCAATTATTATTTGGAGAGGCTTTTTGTAGTTTTTTCTTCTTCTCTTCTTTGCCACATTTAGTTAAAGTGCTTTTTAAATCAGTTGGAAATTCTAAAGCCTCAAGTGACTACTGTTGGGAGAAAAAAAAACTTGTAGTCCAGTCTGTCTTATAACCATTAAGCCTTGCTGGTTTCTTCTAGGAATGTAGCTGCTTATGAATGATTGCAAGGTCAGTTCTAATATGGTTATGCTGGTTGATCCAAACACAACAGGAGGAATTCAGTAATTTGCATACTCCTCCTTGTGAAGCTAATAAATAATCAAGGCTATTATGTTGTCCATGCTGACTGATATCCTATTTATTTTTGCATAATGTATAATACATCCACAGTAATCAAGATCCAAATTATCTATATGCATGACCTGTGCAAGACAATCTAAAAATTGTGTGTGGCGGAGGAGAAGTTGGGTACATTTTAGAATGGATTATTGGAATACTACATCCATGAGGCAAATCAGAATCATTTATTACATACAAATTTATTCCATACAAAGAACATGACCAAAATTGTTCTCAGTGAGTTTCCTATAATCACTGGCACATTGGCAAAATAGCCACCATCAGCATCCAGTCCTCTTAAAAAGAATTGTCATTATAAAGCGCTAATCCATTATAATACAAACATTCAGTTGCATTCAGCACAGGTGTCAAATTCACCACTTTGTCGTCACGTGACATTTTGCGACATTTTTCCCCTTTGCGAACCTGGAGTGGCAATGGCTTGATGCATCTGGCCAGCAGGCCTCCAGTTTGACAAGACTGATTTACAGTATTTGACACTGTATGGAGCATATTATCCTATCTTTAAAAACTGGAGAGAGAACAAAATATGATCACTAATAAACCAAATGTTTATAAACACTGCTGTTTGACAATATCTCTTATTCAAATAGTACTGAATAACTGTGAGGAAGGTTGACTGTGCTGCATTAGTAACAGAGTCTTCATTGCCAATGAAAATAACAATACAGAATACTTTATAACACTTTATTGCATGTTCCATGTTGCATGTTTCATATTGAGGGTCAAAGGTATGTACAAGATCTGTTTTTTTTCACTGTATCAGCCAATGTTAATATAAAAATCAGATTCTTTCTTCTTGACTCTTGCTTTTTGAAAAAAAAATCTCTCCCTTTACCAATATTTGAGGAAAAATATTCATATATGCATTCAAGGATTTTAATAGAAATTTTCCCCTACTCAGCTAATGTGAATTACTTTTTATTTGCCAGTGTGTGTGAAAAAAACACTGAATTTTTATTTCTTTGGATATTCAGAGTGACCACTAAGAGAGCCTATAATGCAAATGAATAGGCCACAGATCAGACATTTATAGTCTGTATTAGGTCTAAGAAAAAAGTGCCTTGGTTTTGCGCACCATGGAAGTTTTTCCAGGTGATTTTAAAAGGAGTGGGAAGATAAGAAAGTACAATGTGGGTGAGTTTGGCTGGACAACAGATATGAACCGATAATTAAAAAGCGCACTAAAAACATAATTATTCAGGTTTCTGGCCAGGATGTTAAGGTGAGAAAAAGATCAGTTTGGCAGTTGAAGAGTGACAGTTAGAAAGTGAAGGATACAGTAGGCCAAATCAAGGCAGTGTTTCTCAGCTTCGCTACTTAAAGAGATGTGGACATGAACTCTCAGAATTCCCCAGCACCTATATAGGTAGTCCTTGACTTATGACCACAACTGAGCCCAAAATTTCTGTTGCAAAGTGAGACATTTGTTAAGTGAATTTTACCCCATTTTACAACTTTTCTCGCCACAGTTGTTAAGTGAATCTCTAAAATCAGTAACATGAATCCGGCTTCCCCATTGACTTTGCTTGTCAGAAGGTTGCAAAAGGGCGACTCTGTCAGAAGGTTGCAAAACATGAACCCTGGGGCTCTGCAACCATCATAAATATGAGTCAGTTGCCAAGTTTCTGAAATTTAATCACGTGATCATGGGGATGTTACAATGGTCATAAGTGTAGAAAACGGTCATAACGTGTGTTTTTCAGTGCCATTGTAACTTTGAATGGACTACCTGTATTTAAAACTAAGATTTCGTCAGAGATATTTCCTCTAAAATCTCATCAGAGATTTTATTGTAAAATGCTTCCCAAGGAATGATTTTATCAGAACTGACAGCATTGGCAATATCAACATTTCATGTTGAAGGTTGTCCTTTATGCTGGTTGTCCTCATGAACAATGCTAAAGAGTAAATTTTATCTTCTACTATATCTGCAATACACAACTGTATTCCAGATAATGGTATAAATTTTACACTCCATTAATGGCTGATTTCAGCACAAGGCAATGTCAGCATCCTATAATAAATTGTGAAACCAACACGTTTCCATAATGAATTAAAAAGCGTATTGTACCATGCAATCATTCCTTTATTAGTCAGTCCAGCCATTCATCCATCTAAGCAGTCAGCCAGCCCACCATAACATTTCTATATTATACCCGTTTTACATATCTCCACTTATGATACTATCATTCTTTAGAAAGAAAAGAAGTAATATGGACAATGTTTGTAGGCAAGTATTCTGACATCTGCATGTGTGGAAAGCTGGGTCCCCGTCACTAGAGTTGCTGTAGCCACTTCAATTTCATACAGGTTACAGTGATCTAGACTTAATGGTATTCTATAAAGCAATTTCATACAGGAAAAATCACTGATGGGCACGTAATTTTTTGCATTTTCAAAGTCCCATGCTCTCTGAAACCCTGAATAACTAACATCAGTTCTTCAGGGTTTCGGAGAGCATGGGACTTTGAATTTGCAAAAGAAAATGTGCTCCATCAGTGATTTTCCTTGTATGAAACTGCTTCATAGAATACTATTAAGTCACATGGAGTTATATAAAATAGCTTCCTATATTCACATAAACTGTACTTTTCATACATAGTGAATGTATGGACTCTTGGCATTAAAACGTCATATGAATGTGCATAGTACTTGAATTTGAACTCTTATTCCTGCAGTTTTCAGAGATAATTTATGAGACTCTAAAGATATAAATTAACCCCTTTATAAACAGATGCCAAAGTGTCCAGTCACCATACAAACAATTGTCAAAAATGTCGGTTGTAGTTGTTATTATTATTTTTATAATGTATCTTCATGTGAAAGACATTTTTCAGTCAGTTTAACTTTTCGAATGAAGATATTTCTTTTACTGACATGAATTTGCTTCCCTGGTTTGTGTTAATCCTTAGAAAAAAAAGAGACCTAAGTAAGTTATTTTTAACTTCTGAAAATCTACATCAGCCCAAGACAAGACTGAATGCATTATTCATTGAATTTTAGGGTTGTCTTGTCACCAAACAATTCCTCTAGTCTATATCTTTTAATTTACCCTAGACTTAAAAATTAGACTAATTGATTTGGAATTTTAGACTTACTATGATATTGAATTTTTCTTGAAATTAATACAAATATTCAAGGTCTCTTTCTATAAGGAATATACTCCATAAGCTATTTTCAAACTCCTTAGGCACTATGCAAAGTTACCATTTACTACGCCACAGAAGATAGAACAATAGAAGGATTTTGAGACTTGGTCCACTGGATAAAGAAAGTTCCATGTTTCTATGGTACAAGGAAGTTTGTGAATAAAGAAGTACAAGCATATAACTACAGGAAAAATAGACTGGATCAATACAATAGAAAGTAGCATACAGTATACTTATTCTGAATTTGAGGAACCCATTCTTGGTGACAGCAGCAAGGACAACATGGATGAGTGACCTGCATCAAGCATCAAAGCACTAAGACAAGTTCATTGCACATTTTGTCACATTGAACAGAAACCTCAACAACATTGGGATTTACAGCCAAATGCCCTAGTATAAGATTCTGAATAGGCAATTTTTGGCTGTATCTGGAAACAGACTGCTGATTGGACTGATGTGCCAAAGTGCAAAATTGGGCGGAATATATTCCCCACAATCTCTTTGCCTTCCATCACCTGATGTGAATAGGGAGACTGTTCCTTCATATGATAGATTCTTCTTCATCCTCTTCAATCTCTTTATCAATTTGAAAAGCTATGTTTTCATAGCTAGTTATCCCTCCATATTTTCTCATATGGACCATCAAAGGTTTAGGAGACTGGCTACCTGCCAGGGTGGCCACATACATGCCAGTTCTGTTCTCCTCCAGAGAAGGACCCCAATCCATAGTTGGTCTGCTAGCTTGCTGGATTCTCTGCAGGGAAATGAACAAATGAATCAGTGTTAATGATATGCCCAATGAAATTCCAAAAGCTAGGAAATAATTATTTTGTAGTTCATGGGTATTAACAGAATCGGCCATGTATTATTTGTGGGTTTTGATGGGATTCCAGTTAATCTAAGCTAACCTCCAGTTTGCATAAGAACTGATTTTGTTAATCTTTCACCAATGATTCAGTTTAATCATACCATATGTAGTATCTACAATACTTGTCTTACTGTTAACATAAGAAATGATTCCACTAGCAGTTCAAAAAATAGAAATTTCTGCATTTCTTTTCTCCTGGAACTATAAGGAATTATGGCACTCAAGTTCTGTTCTGCCTTGGAATCTCACTAAGCCTTCTCAAGACTTGTAAACCCTTAGATACGAAAAACTTATAGTTTTGTTGCAGGTTGTTTTTTGAGATCTAATTACTTGACCTAATGTGGTTGTAACACCTGCACAAGTGAGGTACCAATAACTTCTGCTGGGACCAACGTTCTTCCTTGTTTACTTACTTTATCTTCCACCTGCCTTTCCCACTCTGTCTTACTTAGTAAATACAATACATTAACAGACACCATCAAGGAAAATAATAAGTTTGTTCTGCTGATTGAACATGAAGATTTGCCCCATAAACGAGGAAGAATGTTGGTACCAGCAGAGATGCCCAAATGAATTATTTGCTTCCTTTTCACAAAATTGCTTCCGTTTTTGTGAAGGAAGGAGACAGGTCTATTTTTTTTTTAAACTCACAGAGCACTGGAAGCTTCAGGGACAATGCACCCAGCAATTGATTTGATGCAAGGAGAGTGAGCATTTGCTCGCCAGCCTTCTCTGTGCTTATTTATGGGCTTGGTTGGCTGAGCAATAACAGGGTGAAGGCGCAGATTGACAATACATAACAATACAGGTGATACCATGTTGAAAGCCGATTGGATTTGCAGACAAGTAAGACACAGAGGAAGAATGATGGGTTGACCTTCAAGTGTGCAAAATGGTTGCAAGCAGTAAGGCTGGGGTGTGGCCAAGCTCTTTATTTATTCACTGTATGAATAGAATGAACTGTATGAGTTCGCAATGACCCTTCAGGTGTAATTCTAAAGTTCAGACTTGTACCAAACAAATTTGAACAAATCTGGAGGAGCATTGGGCATTTCCTGCCCAGCTGTAAGTTCAAAAGCTTTCAGGTTTTTTTAAGTTAACCAGTAATGAATACGCCTGACTCTAAATTGTGCTTAACTCCAATTATGATATACATATTTATAGACCATTTGATTAGAAGTGCATATTTGATTAAACCACAATTAATACTAATTGGCTTCAATCCGAATGCTTTAGTTAACTATCAGAATGAAAATTCCAGTTTTATTCCTTATGGCAAAAAGGACTGAAAAGAAAATATTGCTGAGGTTTAACAAAGGTGATTATACACCACTGTACAAAAATTAGAAGTGGCTAATTGCCACTTCCATGCCCTCTAATTTCCTTACATGTGTAATTATTGTTTTCCTTTGACTCTTCATCTCTGTAATGCAACCAACTTGTTCGTAGCCCTGGTCTGATCCTCTTCCTTGGGACCGTGCAAAGCCTTGATGAAAATTAGGGACATACTTTCTTAATAGGAGAAATGGAGAAACAGATAACCGATAATCAGAGTTGGAAGGGACCTTGTAGGTCATCTAGTCCAACTCCCTGTCCAAGCAGGAGACCTACAGTATTTCTGACAGATGGCAGTCCAATCTCTTCTTGAAAGTTTCAAGTGATGGTGCTCCCATAACTTTTGAGGGCAAGCTGTTCCATTGGTTGATTGTTCTCACTGTCAGAAAGTTTCTCCTTATTTCCAGGTTAAATCTCTCCTTGTTCAGTTTACATCCATTATTCCTTGTCTGGCCTTCAGGTGCTTTAGAAAATAGCTTGACCCCTTCCTGTCTGTGGCAGCCCCTCAAATATTGGAACACTGCTATCATGTCTCCCCTGGTCCTTCTCTTCACTAGACTAGTGAAGAAGCTCTGGTGGTGCAGTGGTTGGTATGCAGGCTCACTCTGTCCACAGCCAAGAGTTCGATCCTGACCAGCTCAAGGTTGATTCAGCCTTGCATCCTTCTGAGGTTGGTAAAATGAGAAGCCAGATTGCTTGGGGCAATATGCTGACACTGTAAAACCACTTAGAGTACTGTAAAGCACTATGAGACAGTATATAAGTTTAAGTGCAACTGCTATTGCTAGACTGCTATGGAACAAAAACCATTATAACTCTAGTACAAGTCCTATAATGGTTTTAACAGTGTTTTGAACTCTAAGAATCTTCTCAAGTATTCCTTTTCTCTTTGCAACTATTTCATTTGTTTTAGCCTAACAGGATTACGCTGATGTTTTGTATTGGATGCTTTTCTCCTTGTTACTTACTTGCCAGAGTGTCCCTTCTTCTCGGAGCACAGCAAACAGCATTCCCATGGGAATCATCAGGCAAGAGAAGATCCCCATTAGGATGCCCAGAGCCTCAGACCAAAATGGAAAGCAGTAGGTCCCATTGTACTTTGAAGGCTGGTACTTGATAATGCTATACACAAGCAGTGCCTGAAACAGAGCATCAGATATCAGAGAACCGATCAATCTGCTATGGGAGTTTTCATTTCCCTTCAAACTTAGCTATTACAAGTTAATTAGATATATATCATACTGCTTAACAGATGCAATATTAATCCCATGGGATTAGGATAGTGGCACTCCAGAACATCATCAAGGAGATGTACTCTTTTATCCTTAGCTGCATAGAACTATCTATTTCCATATAAATGGTTGGGGATTGATACAAAATGAAGTTAGCATTTATTTAATCACTAAAGGGTTATCCTTTGGTGTTGTTGTTTTTTTCTGCTGTTGATATGGAACACCTGTGTAGAGTAAAATGAACTCCCTCAACTTCAGTAGATGATGTTTCATCACCACCTTGTACAAACAAATAGTCCTTAACCTTGGGATGTTCTCCTGCTTAGCAGAATAGGCAAAGCTTTCCTGGAAAAAGATAAGATAAACCTATCCTTCTTGCCCTTAGTAAAATCAAGTGAGAAAGAACTGTGGCCCCATGCTTCTGCAGAGTCATTTGCAAAAATGAATTAAGCAAATGTAAATTCATTTATATTATAAATTAACTCATCAAAAACAACACTAACCATAAAAACCTCCAATCTTGTCCTGATCTAAACTTACAGCAATGTGCCCGCTCCCATATACTACCCACAGAACTCAAAAATCATCTAGACAATGGAGAGAAGGACCTGTACATTGATTACAATGCAGACTGTATCAAAAGAAAGTCACACAACCCACAACTCAGCACCCAACCCTACTTCAACCAATCCACCATCACTCAAGACTAGGCATGCACTCCCCCAACTACCTCAATTCAAACTACAACTGGCCTTAAATGCAAGCTACTCAATGCAAGAAACCTTGTAAATAAAATAGAAAATAAAATAAATATATTTCTCCTCTTACTAAATACGGCTAAATTCGACATCATATTTGTCTGTGAAACATGGCTCAACACATCTCTCCCTGACTCCATTACCACAGTAATAGACTGTCATGTTTACCGATCTGATTGTGAAATCCATAGAGGAGGTGGTGTTGCTATCTTCTATAAAAAGTCCTTACATCTAAAAAAACATCCAAGTTACCCAAGAGCTTGCTCTTCCTGAGACCATTATCTGTGAACTGACCTTAAATATCACATTTTGGTTCTTACTATGTTACGGAGCCCCTGATTATGACATTGAACATGTAAACAAGCTAAATACACTACTAACATGGGCAGCATCCTGCCCACATGCTTTTATCTTTCTTGGTGACTTCAATCTACCTCATATTAACTGGACCCTAAACGAATGTACAACTGAACCCATACATGCAACCTTCTACAATGCTGTAACAAATCTGGGACTGGAACAACTAGTAAGCAACAATACTAGGCTTAACAACTGCCTCGATCTCATCTTCTGCAGTAGTTTGAATTCAATTTATGGAATGCAAATTAAAGAATCCTTTTCCAACAGTGACCACAACGTGATTGACTTTTGTCTCAACATACATCCACATAAAAATCACCACAATGATGTAATCCCCATTTATAACTTCAAAAAAGGCAACTATGATCTTATAGACAACGATCTCTCATCCCTTAATTGGCAATTTCTATTCATTGGATGCATTACTGTTGAAGACCATTGCAACATATTTTTACTTGAAGTCAAGAGTCATCAAATTATATGTACCACTAACAACTCCCAAAACCAGAAAACCAGAAAAAAACAGATTACCCATAACAATAAGGAAGCTTCAATCCAAAAAGAAATCACTTTGGCAGAAAAACAAATCTGGTCACGTTGCCAACTTCAAAAGCTGATACAAAAATTTGTGCCACCAGATAAAGACTGAATGCATCAATTATCATATTAAAAAAGAGGAAAACCTACGGACCAATTCCACCTGTGCTTTCTACAATTTTGTAAACAGCAAACTAAAAGACTGAAAGTCCATCCCACCCCTTTAATGGTAAAGACTGTAATGATGACACCATTAAAGCAAACCTCTTTAACACATTCTTTGGCTCAGTATTTGTAAACAGCAATGGATCATACCCAGTATTTCCTAGTTGAACCACAGACAACTACAATGATCTAATAAATATCGATTTTACAGAAGACATTGTTGAAAAAGCACTGCGCAATCTAAAACCATCTCTATCTATTGAACCAGACGGAATATGTGCCTACTTCTTAAAAAAGCTGTCCACTGCCATAAATGAACCTCTAAGCATAATCTTGGAAAATCTTTCAGGACCAGCTCCTTGCCAAACCTATGGTCACTAGTCACAGTCATCCCCATCTTCAAAAAGGGAGACCCCAGCCTAGTTGAAAATTATAGACCAATCTTCTTATGCTGCGTCACCTGTAAAGTCATGGAATCAATTATTAACCAATCCATTATCCACCACTTAGAGACAAACAACCTACCCTCTAATAAACAATTTGGTTTCAGAAAAAAAACTATCCTGCAATCTGCAACTCTTACACTGCAAAAACATATGGACTACACAACTGGATCAGGGCAAAACAATAGCCTCAAACTACATAGACTTCTGTAAAGCCTTTGATTCAGTGATACATGACAAACTACTATTAAAACTAAAATCTTATGGTATCTCTGGACACCTACATAATGGGATAGAAGCATTCTTGTCAAACAGACAACAAATGGTGGAAATTGGGAATATCCTATCAAATTCTGTACCTGTCAACAGTGGTGTCCCCCAAGGCAGTGTTCTAGGACCAACTCTCTTCATACTCTACATAAATGACCTCTGTGATCATATTAAGAGCAACTGCATTCTCTTCACTGATGATGTAAAGCTATTCAACACCACAGGCAATATTTCTACCCTCCAAAAAGACCTTGACTCTTTATCAGTATGGTCAATCAAATGGTAACTTCAAATCTCAACAAATAAATGCTCTATCTTGCATATTGGCAAAAAAAATCAGAAAATAAAATACAAGCTAAATAGTCAAAACCTTGTTGATGATCCAAACTCTGTCAAGGACCTTGGAGTACTCATCTCTAATGATCTAAGTGCTAGAGCCCACTGTAACTACATAGCCAAAAAGGCACTAAGAGTTGTTAACCTAATCCTATGTAGTTTCTTCTCTGGTAATATCATACTACTAACTAGAGCATACAAAACATTTGCTAGACCTAAACTTGAATACAGCTCATCAGTTTGGAACCCATATGATGTATCTGATATTAACACAATTGAAAAAGTCCAGAAATATTTCACAAGAAGAATATTTCTACTCATTGCAGAATACCTTATGCTACCAGACTTGAAACTCTTGACCTAGAAAACCTAGAACTACACCACTTCCGGTCCCATCTAAATATAGTATATAAAATCATACATTGCAATATCCTAGCAGTCAATGAATACTTCAGCTTCAATCATAACAATACAAGAGCACACAATAGATACAAACTCAAGGTTAACCACACCAAACTTGACTGCAGAAAATACAACTTCAGCAACAGAGTGGTCAATGTCTGGAATACTCTACCTGACTCTGTGGTTTCTTCTCCAAACCCCCAAAACTTTAACCTTAGACTGTCTACTATTGGCCTCACCCCTTTCCTAAGAGGCCTGTAGGGGGCGTGCATAAGTACACCAATCGTGCCTACCATTCCTGTCCTATTGTTTCTTTTTATTTTTCTTATAAGTATCTATCCCATGTATTCAAAACTATGTTTATTCTTATACCTGTATCTTGTAAGCAATTGACAAATCAAAAATAAATAAATAAAAAATAAAACTAGGGTGATTTTTTTAATGGTTTAGAGCGCATGTTAGGTGGTCAAAAATCCCAATGAGATTGAACATCAGCGCAGAGCTAATCAGGAGGGTGGTCCATGTTTGCTAGCTGTAAATACATTTGTTAGCTTTATCTCTTTGGAATTCCCTGACTGGAAGAGGGAATGTAAGGTCATTCTTTTTGTTTTCCTTAATGTTCTTCCAATATTCTTAGGTATTCCTTGATTGCTGTTTTATATTATTTTCTCACACTGCCATGCAACAAAGCCTTGAGTACTCATACCGATATAATCATTGCTTCTAAATTCAAAAGTATCTATGATTCAAATCTCCTGGGCTGGGGAAGGAACAATGCAACAAAGATGAAAAATAAATCTCTGGGTGACAGACATAGGGACAATAAGAAGACCTAGATGCTTCAGAGCGATTATAGTTACCGTCATTGTTACTGGAGACAGGAACAACCAGCAGGCCCTAAAGTAAATTCCTGGTTTGAAACCCAGCATCATGTGAATGTCACGGCAAAATCTGTTCATGCCTACGGAGAAGAAAAGGAATGGGAAACAATGATGTTGTTCAGTCAGAAGTGTATTATCGAATTGAAACTAACAGTTTAACTGTTTGACTCTATATAGATTTACTTAAATGTTTTTCAAAGTCCGGTGAGACTTTCTTCCTGGTAAACATGCATAAAATTGTAACCTGAGAGGAAATCCCGCTGAGTACAGTGAGAATAACTTCTAGGTAAGCAGGCATTAGTTTGTGCAGTCCAAGACACACAGTCTGTGATATCCAAACAATATTTTGATATTTCTACAGCAGTCTAAACCACTGGGTTGTAATGTGAAAATTGATGCAATATTTAAACCATGTGAATGGGATAGGGTCTCCTGCCTGAGGAGGGGGTTGGACTCAGAGGTGGTATTCAGCATGTTCTGACCAGTTCTGGAGAACTGGTAGAGGAAATGTTGAGTAGTTCAGAGAATCGGCAAATACCACCTCTGACTGGCCCCTCCCCCATCTATTATCTGCCTCCCGAGTCCCAGCTGATTGGCTGGGTCTTCTTTTGTTGCCTTGCACACAGGAGTGGGATTCAAATTTTTTAACAACCGTTTCTGTGCGTGTGGCTTAGATGGTAGGTGTGGCTTGGTGGTCATGTGATTGGGTGGACATGGCTGGGTGTGGCCAACTCAATATCACTCACATCGAGGCATGTATCTCCTCGCCTGGCCTCTCATGACTGTGGGGATGCTGCAACAGTCGTAAGTGTGAAAAATGATCAAAAGTCACTTTTTTCAGTGCCATAGTAACTTTAAATGGTCAATCCACACAAGCAAATACCAGCAAAAGGAGGGGGAAAAAACTTCAGAGAAGTTCCAGAGACAGGAAGTCTAATCCTGCCAAGAATGTAATAAGGGTTAATGGAGAGGCAGTTTCTGTAAGCAACACCAAAATGTTTCCTTCCTGCCTTCCTTACAGGATTAGGCCAGTAATTTCTTCTAACAACTGGTTCTCCGAACAGCTTAGAATGTTAACAACCAGTTCTAGCGAATAGGTGCGAACTGGTAGAATCCCATCCCTGCCTGCACAGGAGAACAGAACTGGAAAGCAGGTTAGTGGGGTCAGGAGGGAGTGGGATTTTGCAGTAGCCTTCCCTCAGGAGTGGGGAAGGAATGGGGATTTTGCAGTATCCTTCCCCTGCCACGTGCACCAAGCCACGCTCATAGAACCAGTAGTAAAAAAAATTGAATCCCACCACTGGTTGGGCTAAAACAGTGCCTTCAACCTTTGGGGCACCAGGGACCAGTTCCAGTTCCATGGAGAGAGGTTTTTCTGCACAGCCAAGGGGACGTGGTTTTGCTTGCTGCCTGCATCACACGGATGTGGCTTCGCTTGTTTGCACGGCCTGCTTTCTGGCTGCTGTAGCCTGGTGCTGGTCCATGGACTTGGGGTTGGGGACTCCTGTGGACTTAAAGACCTCCAAGGTTCCTATTAAATCACTGTTACTCTTATTCTGACTTTTAAGAAAATGCCACTGATCCTAGATTTTGGCTCCAAAAAAATAATACATTTTTGCACTTCTCGTTTCACTTTAAAGAAAGCTTGTAACAATAGCAAAGATATTTTACCATAAACACGTGTTACTACTAGACAGGTAGTTATGACCACTACCATGAGCCCAAACCCAGCACTGTAGTCATCCAGCAGCACCAACCAGTACATTCCACCCTGCAGAGAAAAATTCAGAAAAGGTCCATTTTATATATATAATTACATAAATATATATAATTATTTATCAATAGAAGAGTATATTTATAGTTCTGGATCAAACTGTGGGTTTCTTGGCTGTTTTTTTGCAGACATTTCATCACCCAACTAGGTAACATCATCAGGGCAAGAAAACAGCCAAGCTCAAAGAGCACCAAGGACCCCACACTTATTTATTTATTTATTTGAAAGCAAAAGCTGCCCAACTCCATTTTGTGAGAGCTACATTTTAAAACATATTAAATGGAATATTATCTTTGTTTCTGAATAAAGTTGTTTGGGACAAAATATCATAGCTATAGGTTAGGTTTCATTAGCTAAACATTCAGAAAAGGAATAAATGCCAGGATTTATATTTTTATTTTAGCTGAAATTCCAAAGAAACTGATAAGACCCTGCTCAGATTTTGAATGTTGGGGATCAAGTAGCTGCAATTAACTGTTAATAGAAATTAGCCAATTAGTTGGGTAGACAGATAAATGACATCTTCTGCTTTGATGATCTTCTCTTGTACTCATGTCGCATAGTTTACTAGATAATGTGTGCAATCCTTTCATTCCTTGTCCTTTTGTTCCTTTCTCCTAATACAGTACAGGTTTTACTTGTAACTATGCCCTAGATCAGGGGTCCCCAACCACCGGTCCCCGCACCGGTACTGGTCCATGGAACAATTTCTACTGGGCTGCCAGTTTGCTGGGCACCACCATCTTGTTTTGATGAAAAAGTGCTTCCGGTGAGCTTTTCCAGGTAGAAAGCGGCATTTGGGTGCTGAAAGAATCCTTGCGCCTTAGTTTCATCGAGGTGGGGGGGTGGCTTTGAACAAAACTAAGGCGCGAGGATTCTTTCAGCATGCATGGCAAGGCGAGGCGAGCGACCGTCCCGAAGCCGTCGTGAAGCCCATTGACACAGGTACAAAGGAGGAGTTGAAGGTGGTGGGAAGAAGCAGAGGACGGCTGGCTGGCCGGTCGCTCGGCTCACCTTGCCATGCGTGCTGATGCCTGTACCGGGCTGCGGATGATTTTGTGATGCCGGTACCGGGCCGCGGCACAAAATAGGTTGGGGGCCACTGCCCTAGATTATTATGTTAAACCCCAGCTATTGCAATATCTTCCAATCTACTTTGCTTACCTCTGTTGTGAGAATGAGCCCCATTAAAAACATCGCAACACAAATGATGCCTGAGAAAAAAGCCTTCTTCGGCCGCAGGTAATATGGGAACTCATCTGTCACTGCAGTAACAATGGTCTCTAGAAAGGCAAACTGAACACAAAAGCGATCTCATCAACTGTAAGGCCCATTCATTTGAAGGTCCATGGTTAAAGCCTTTCCTCTCAACAGCCTTTGCCCTTACCTGACTGTCCAAGCCAAGAGTCAACAGCATGAAGAAAAAGAGGAAAGACCAGAAAGGAGAAAGAGGAAGCATTGTCATGGCTTGTGGATACACTACAAAAGCCAACCCTGGACCTAGAATGGGCCAAGAATGAGAAGAATTATGAATGCAATCAAGGAGACATCATCAGGGCTGCATTTTGGGAGCATAAAAATTGAGTCACTGAACAAATGAGGTTGCAGGTCTCACTTTGTCAGCTTGCTCACATTGTCACACAATCTGCATTTTCCTTGGCAATATTTTCAGAAGTGGTTTGCCATTGCCTGCTTTCTAGGACTGAAAGAGAGTAAATGCCCCAAAATCATGCAGCTGGTTTTGTGCCTAAAGTAGGAGTATAAGTCTTAGTTTCTAGCTCACTGCCTTAACCGCTATACCAAACTAGTTTTACTCCATAGTTGGTAGCCGAATGCTTTCAATTGCCCTCTTGGTAATATGAATAGGGTGGGATTGGATCTCTTCTGAAATTCATATCGATAAAAAATTATAGCTCACACGTGATCAATCAGGAAATATATTTCACAATTTCCACTTAATTTGGCTGTACATTTATCAGCTAATGCTAACACCTGCTGGATGCAATGTACATTTTTCTTGGCAAAAATACAAATGCAGTTAGTGATAGTCAAGCTCTGGATTACAATGCTAATGAGATTTAAAACCTTTTATTGTTGATTGCTTGTTCTCTAGTACATTTTATCATAGAGTGATGCACAAAGAAGAAAAGTAATCTCTTCTCAGTCTATGGGTTATATGATTAGTTGGAGAAGCTATTCATTATGTACAGTTGTTCTTTGTCTTCTGTTAACCTGCTTATTCTATTGCCTTTAATCTTTCCAAGCATCAACATCTTTAAAAATTATGTGTCCAAAATATTAAACTTTAGCCAAATGGAGGGTGCACTTTGTGAAGGCAGCAAGATTTAGGGTGCCACTATTTCCTACCAGTCCCAGGATGGGAGGATAGTACCATGAAGCAGTTGGGTGAATATAACCTAGGAATAGGTAAGCTCCAATTCTAACCTACGCTCAACCATGGACGTTCACTGGGAGATGCTGGGCTAGTCCCTTTCTCTCAGCCAACCTATTTCACCAGGGCGTTCTGGTGGGTAAAAATAGGAGGAGAAAGTGCTATATGAATCTCCTTAATCTTCTGAATGAAAGATAGCATATAATATAATAACGAAATTAATTTAATTTCTCTTTTCCAAAAGGTCTGGCTTTATCCCAGTATTCATAGTTTTTAACATATCAGTGATCTGGGAGTCCTCCTTGTATAGTGCTTCTTGTGTTTGTACCCTTTCTTCCTCATATCTACCTTACCATTAGATCTTGCTTCTTACTGTATCCAATGTTGTGTAAAAGTTTCTTTTGATTCTAGTTTTCTTAAATCTCCTGTCCTTTCCAGTCAATTTTTTGTTCTGAATTTCTTTACATTTTATATTTAAATATACCTGCTTGTCTCTTCTTCTTTTTATCTAGAATTTGGAACTCAGTTGAATTCATATTTCCTCTGTCATTGCAGTGCAAATTCTCTGGCAGTCTAACAGACATTCTAACCTGCGTATATATACTTGTACAAAAGATAGAAGAAATTTTTAGGTTTTACCTGCTTTGGCCACTTCCTGAACAGGAACATCAAGTTCTTGGGACATGTATCCCAAAACAGAAAAAATGGCAAAGCCAGCCAAAATGCTGGTAACAGCATTCCCCACAGTGACTATAAATGTATCCCTACAGAACAACAACAAAATAGGACCTTAATAATCTGATCTCAGACATTGCAGAATATCTAAGGAGATATAAGATAGCAATAGCACTTAGATTTATATACTGCTTCGCAGTGTTTTACATCCCTCCATAAGTGGTTTACAGAGTCAGCATATTGCCCCTAACAATCTGGGTCCTCATTTTACCACCACCCTGGAAGGATGGAAGTCTGAGTCAACCTTGAGCCATTGAGATTCAAACTGCTGGCAGTTGTCAGTCAGCAGAATCAGCCTGCAGTACTGCATTCCAACCATGGCTCTTGATAATAAACAGGCTGGTATACTTACTTGCTATTAATGCAAAGGTAGAGTGTAGAACTCTTCAGATGTTGAACTCTACCTGCTATCGGCCCTATCTAATAGGACTACTGGTGAGATACATTAGGAACTGCAAGCCAATAAATGCCTGGAAGATCACTTTTATCCATGCCCATGTTAAATGGCATCTGTATATACATATATGCCTACTACGCACACTGTCTTCTGGGGAAAGCAATGTTATGCCGACTTGTAGAACTGAAATAAGAAACACAGTGTGCCCTGGCATTGGAAATGGGGAGATCTTAGGATATGCAACATTGGTAGATATTTCAGGAAGAAAAAGCAATGGATATAAGAATTCTCACTAATTTGAAAATTAGTAGGGACAAAGCAATCATGACAGACATATAGATGGATAAAAATGTTGGATCCAGTCTAAACATCTGACTGACTATGCGACAAACCATAATAATAATAATTTCTTTGATTTATATGATTGTCAATCTTATCTAAGCAACTCTAGGCACCTTGCAAAAGTTTTTTAAAAAAACCAATCCAATTTAAGTTAAAAGCCAATATACTGTACAAAAAGCATACCAGCAACAGCCTGACATCAGCTCAACAAAGGCATTGTTAAAGTTCCTACCATTGCCAGACAACCAGACACAATGAAAGATATCTTCCAACTCAATTAGCCTTTCCTTTCCTTTCCTTACCTCTCCACTCCTCCCCTCTGCTCTCCTTCCCTTCCCTTTTATAAGTTTAGCTGTATATCCATAATTCTCTTTTCTCTCCTCTGACATCCCATCCGTGATTCTGTTTAAAATACACAAAACAATAATTTGCTTTAAATACGCTCCATCTCTAGTACATATAAATTGAGAATATATACCTGTAAATATTCTGGTGGAAGGTATTATATGATGCAAAGGTGAGAAGTCCCCCAAATCCTACCCCAAGAGAGTAAAAGATCTGCAAAGCTGCTTCAATCCACACCTACATTAGAAATAGAAAACAAGAAGTTAAATAATTTCAATAAGCCAGCAAGCAACCAGTATTGGTTACTAAAGCTTTTACCCACAATGGTATACAAGCTGTCTTTTTCAACACAATGAATATAAAGATAGTTTGAAAAGGATGCATTTGAATTCTCTGTGAAGGGAAACTAGAAAGAGTGGTTTTTCCTGGCACATTTTTTTTTTCAGTCATAGCTTTTATAATGATGAAATTCTAAAGAAAAATGTTGCCAAATTACTGTCATCTATCACTACCTGAAATTTCTTTTAAATATATTTTATATCTTCCCTGCCATAAATGCTCATCATATAAGGGAATCAAAGAAAATGCTACTTGACAAATAGTAGAGAAATATGAAAACTTATTCATACTTTCTCCTTTGTGCAATAATGAACTACAGTATGCATAGACAGGCCCACTCAAATACATTTCAGGTTCATATATAAACTTCTAGTCCTTAAACAGAGAATGTTAAATAATGTTAACAATGCCTTGATCAGTTTCTGGTTATTGCAGTTTTCTTGGCAGGGTTACAGAAATGCCACTGCCTTTTTAAAGGATTTCTTTTAAAGTTTCCAGTTTACCCAAAGATCTGGAGTTTACCCAAAGTCCCAGCCAAGAACTCCGCTTAGTTTCTAAGATCGCTCAAAAAATGAGATACTCAAAAGATATACATAAATAAACTCTTTTATATAATAATATTGACACAGAGCTCACATTGGGAGACAGTAGCAGGTCAAACTGGGGTGTGAGATAGAACTTGATTCCTAACCAGGCCCCGTCAAGTGTCACCCCACGAATCAGGAGCATGATCAGAATAAGGTAAGGAAACGTGGCGGTGAAATAAACAACCTACAAGAAAATAGAGGCATTTATTTGTAGCAGTTCTAAAAAGATGTTTCTTTTTTGACAACCCTATAACTCTTGTAATCTTCCATAAATTTACATTACTGCCATGTGCAAAATGGTTATCGTGATTCCATGAACAATAATGAAGGATCCATAAATTGAAATAAGAGAAATGGCAAAAGCCATAAAGCCCTTCAACAACCTGCTTAACGCATACAAAAAATCCAGAAACAGAATGTGTCATTCTATATTTGAAAAACTCTAGTGGGTCTGCTCATTATATCTATTATCAAATACTTTTGACTATCAAAATATCTTATTTAATAATCAAGTAAAATCTTTCTTCCTGTGTTTGATCTAGTACAATCCACTTGCAGAGCATTATGACAGCATTTTTAGATTTGTGATCTTTCGCAAAAATGCTCAGAACCTATAGGTGATGCTGGAGTATTACATTTTCTATCAGTCCTCCACAATTATTAAATTATACTGCTGAAATAAAGAAAAGTTGAAAGAATCAGGAGTGAGTTTGGCATAGAAGAAATGTAAAATTCATTTCTTAGCTCATAACTTAAGTGTAGCACACAAAATTATCTGCTACAATGTCCTACCAGTCAATAACTACTTCAGCTTCAACCACAACAATACAAGAGCACACAACAGATACAAACTCAATGTAAACCACTCCAAACTTGATTGCTGAAAGTATGACTTCAGCAACAGAGTGGTCAATGCCTGGAATGCACTACTTGAGTCTGTTGTTACATCCTCTAACCCCCACTCCTTTAACCTCAAACTATCCACTATTGACCTCACCCCATTCCTGAGAGGTCTGTAAGGGGTGTGCATAAGTGCACCATTGTGTCCTATTTTCCCCATTTATTCGTACCTATTTCCTGTATTCTTACTCATGTTTCTACTTTTCCTATTATCTTGTAAGGGATTGACAAACCAAATCAAATCAATAAATAAAATAAATAAAATGATCTAAGAATTCATGGAGGAGGGAGTTGACCCCATGGGAAAAATAACGTTAAAGATGCTCACCCCTGTCCTAAAATATAGAAAAAACATGTTTTCCAATTCCTACTACAATTATAACATCTACAAAAAGTCAGATAAAATTATTTTATAATTTGAGTGTGGGGAAGAAAAACAGACAGGTGCCTTCTGCTAATTTATACTTTACCTTGCCAGAAGATTTGACTCCCTTTAAGATGCAAAGATATACGATCAGCCAAGCTAGCAGGAGGCAGAGGCAGAGATTCCAGCGAATCCTCCCAGGATCTCCAATGCCTGAGCTCCCTTGGATGTGGAGGACATATCGGCTTAAAAAAAAGAGAGAAAAACTTCAGTGGGTGGAATTTCCTCCTGCAATTATTCATGATGAGGTGACAAAGTAGATCAACCTGAAAAGCCTTTCCAACTAGCAAAAAGCATAACATTGTGTGGAGATGGCTTTATATGACAGTACTGTATGTGTGTATATATTTTCCCCATACATATGTGTGCACCATGCAGGGAAGCAATAATTAAATGGTTGTTAAATCAGATGTATTTAATCTGGTTAAATACATCCAATTAAATGGAGGCTTTTTTTTAGCTTGGGATTTGGTGGCTTTTTCTTGAATAGAGACTTCCTTGTCTAAAGAATTTGCAATATTACCACAAATTAAGAAATGCTTTATACGGTTCATTTTTTGCATTTGTATTATTTCAAATAATAAATTGGTGATCAGTGCATGTGTCATGTTTGTGCATGATAAAAAACATTTATGTGTGTGGTAGCTACACACAACGCGACACACAAAAGCTATTTTTCACGTTACATTAATTTGCATGGTGTTCAGCATACACTCTGCTTAAGGTGCCTTTGTCAATAAGGCCTTTAATAATTTCCAGTCCTAGTAACAAAATAGTTTATTTTGAACACAGTGAACAATGCCTCCACATAGACTGATGAAGATGAACTAAAGTTCCAGTCCCTCCTCTTTGGCTGTTTTAACCTTATATGGATTGCTATAGAGTCTCCTTTTCATAATTCTCACTAAAATATTATGCAGTTAGAAAACAAAAGCAAGACCTATCTTACGCATATAATAATATGGATAGATTCATATATTTCACAGCAAATGTCACATCCATATCATGAACCATTTGTGAAGATTTGGATAGGAAATGTCCTCAATTATTTGCCCCTCAACTACAACTCTCATACTGTGGCACTTAAAAGTTTATGAACTCTTTTCAATTTTCAATATTTCTGCATAAATATGACCTAAAAGGAGATCTGTTTGTCACATAAATCCTAACACTAGATACAGAGAACCCAATTAAATAAATGAGTCAAAAACTCATTTTGCCTGTGCATTTACTGAGGAAAAAAATCCAAATCTATTCATCACATTTTAGGTTATATTTATGCAGAAATATTGAACATTCAAACCAATTCACAAACTTTTAAGCACTATCATTACTAACCTCTGACCATGCTTATGAGTGTTGAAGAATATCTAGAGAGCTCTTAGACTGAAGAAGGCAAACTTATCACCATGGGTTACCTTCCTTCCCACCCTTTTCTTGTCTAAGCTACTTACCTCCAATATTCCTCACTCGGACTGACAGTGTTAGAAGTGTTGAAAGGGGCAGCACTGTTCCCTGTGTGCATGACATGGTGGTCCAGGCACAGGTCTGTGTTCCACCAGTTGCCGCAGTACTGCCAAGGCAAGTTGTTGGTCAACGAGGCAAAGAGGTAGAAGAGAACATAGGCAATGATCATGTTATAGTAAATGGCCACCAAGGAGACAATCAGGATTGTGGCCATACCAATACCTAAAGAAGAGCAGAAATGATATATAGTGGCAACAAAACACAGGCAACCCCCACAGTTGATAGTTGTTTACTGCAACATTCATGATGCAGCTACACGAAGCCCTGATGGCACAGTGATTCAGTGCTTTATTGCAGGCAACTCTGCCCACAACCTAGAGTTCAATCCTGATGGAGCTCAAGGGTTCCATCCTTCCAAGGTTGGCAAAATGAGGACCCAGATTGTTGAGGGCAATATGCAAATAATGCTGACATTGTAAACTATCCAGAGAGTTCTGGAAAGCACTATGGGGCAGTATATAAGCCTAAATGCTATTGTCCCAAAGGTACTTCTTCAAGAGACAAGTGGACTGTCTGGTTTTTCTTTGAAGGTGTTTCACTTCTCATCCAAGAAGCTTCTTCAGCTCTGACTTGATGGTGGGAAAGAATTTATACTCGCATTCCACACCATCCGGTCAGAACAGAAGAAGCTTCTTGGATGAGAAGCAAAACATCTTTAAAAAAAACAAAAAAAACAAACCAGAAAGTCCAGTTGCCCGTTTAAAAAGCACCTTTGGGACAATCATGACCTGGATAACTGAAAATCTCCATAGACATCTAAATGCTGTTGATATAAATGCAGTCCATGAGCTCAGTTGAGATTGCTAGCTTTTTCTAGCCACCTTGTGAGGGCACCAATAGTCTTGCTGTTTTCTTCTATTGCTTTAACTGCATTGGATCATGCATTAAATTTAGCCCTTTTTTTCAAAATCCTAGATTAGTCAGGATATCCCAGGATATCCAAGTTATCTAAGTTAAAATCCTATAGATGTGTTGGAATTATAACTCCCAGAGTTCTTAACTAGTAAAGCTGAAAAACGGCTGGAAATTTGAATAATTTCATTCATTCTTAACACATTTGGAATTTATTAATTCTATAACACTGTTCTAACATAATTTATAGTGAGTTAATTTTGAAATGTTTCAATATCTATCTATATTCAATCTGCCAAGTGTTAGTCCACCTAGCCAGTCTTGCTTCTAAAACTTTGGGAAAGAGAATTCTCTTCCCAAATGTTTTTTTTTTCACTTTCACAGTAATCAAAGTATACTTCCGGTAGTAAATTACTGCTCTCACATATTGAAGTAAGGAAGGCTCTACAATGCGTGAGGACTAACCTGTTCCACCGTCAACCATAAGAATTTCATCTGCAAAAGAAATGAAGGCAGGCACCATGACAAAACTAGATTAGTATTTCACACAGACCTTTGAAGAGTGGGCTTATCTTCCAAACAGCAAGAGGCCCCAGGCTTGAGAACTGGCCTAATGATAGCTCCATGAAGAAAATGGGTATCCCACATATAGCCAACATAATGAAATAAGGAACGAGGAATGCTCCTGCGGGAGAGAAATTATAAGCAAGTGACAAAAGGGACACAATTGGGATGGAAAGTTGAATGTGATAATCACAGCATGAGCCCAATGATATTCCTTCCTTATATATGAGGTATGGTCCTCATAAAATGAGAATATGGACCATCTAGCAAAAGTGAGAGATGAGAAGATTCAGAACATACAGTGGAATAGATCTTCATGCCAAAAAATAGCTAAAATAGGGACCTTTTTTGCAAGGAGATGTTCTGATGGTCACACACTTGGAAGCCTTTAAGAGGTGATTAGAAGATAATCTAAAAGAGGCTCGCAGTGTTTCACAAAATTCTAGAGACCACATGGCAGGGCCAGACAAGTCTCTACAGTAAGAAAACAGCTGGTCCTCAGGTCTTGCAGAACTTCAATCTTGAAAAAGGAACATTTGGCTTGTGCAATTCAAGTTACACTGCAGTTAATTCAGAAATAAAATGGCTTAATTACTGGGCACAGTCAACAACAGAAGATCATAGAAGTGCTCAGCTTCTTCTGCAATGATTTGAAGAACCCATGTGGAACTTCCTGGAGTAGAAATCTGGTATTAGTAAATCTCCAGGAAGTTCAGGAAATCTACACCGGATAGTGTAGACAATATTGTATTAGTTTTTCACTGAAGAATCAGAGGTGGTATTCAGCAGGTTCTGACCAGTTCTGGAGAACCAGTAGCGGAAATTTTGAGTAGTTCTGACAACCTGCAATTACCACCTCTGACTGGCCCCTCCCCCATCTATTCTCTGCCTCCTGAGTCCCAGCTGATCGACTGGGTCTTCTTTTGTTGCCCTGCACAGGAGAACAGAGCTGGAAAGCAGGTTAGTGGGGTGGGGAGGGGATGAGGATTTTGCAGTAACCTTCCCCTGCCACACCCACCAAGCCATGCCCACCAAGCCACCCCACGCCCACCAAGTCATGCCCACAGAACTGGTAGTAAAAAAATTTTAATCCCACCACTGTGAAGAATATCATGACCTGGTCCATAGTAGCTTTCAAAGAAGCAACAAAGTCTTAATTTATTCTTTGGCAGAGGGGAACTAAGGCACAGTGTGTTTCAGAAGGAGAATCAATAGATGGTGTATATGTACTGTATCTTCCTTTCTTCATAAATTTTTGTGGGCAGAAAAAAGATGGAAAAAATTGAAGAAAAACATGGGATGACTATTTAGATGTACTTATATGTTCTCCCCATCACCACTATCTATTAATATGTCTGGATACATATCTTACAGAGTTTTGAAGGCTAATTGTGTTGCAACCCAAATATGTAGAGGATTAAAAGCCAAATATGAAAGAAAATTGAATTTCCTACTGCAGCAGTTGGCAGGCTTTAGTTTGTGGAAGTAGTTATTTATTTTATTATTCCTTTTTATTGGCATTTTAAGATCCTTGCAAAAATATGTATACTTAAAATTAAGGAATCTAAATCACAAATATATTTTTGAGTACTAGAAGTGAGCAGGGAGGAGAGAGCCAGTTTGGTTTAATGGTTAAGCTAACAGGCTAGAAACCAGGATACCATGAGTTCTAGTCCTGCCTTAGGCATGAAGCCTACTGGGTGACTTGGGTCAGCCATTCCCTGCCAGCCTTAGGAAGCAAACAAAGGCAAATTACTTCTGAAATCTTGCCAAGAAAACTGCAGGGATTTGTCTAACCAATCACCGGCAGTCAACGCTGATTCAAAGGCACCAAAGGGGAAAAAGTGTGTGTGGAGTTCACAGTCCTTCCATATTGAAACCTACTTCTATTTATTTAAAGTTCTCTTTAATTTAGCAATAAATTTCAAATTCAAGAAAGTCTCTCTGTCATTGCTATCCCTTAACACTTTGAAGGTAGACTAATTGCTCATCTACTGCAAATCAACCAGAGATCTGTTATAACATCCCGATTACTTTTTCCTGCAACCCTGTTATAAATGATTTGACAAGATCACAGGATTGTGTTCTGTGTTCTGTTCTGATTGATGCACTCAACAATCCTACTTAATTCTCAGCTTAGTACCTTGGTAAGTAGCAAGGAACCAGAACAACTTTGTGAATAGGATAAAGCACTTTCTATATTGCTGATTACCTGTGTTACATAAATATCACAAGACTGGCTGCATTCCCTCAGGAATCAGAATATGTTTCCCCCTCTTCCTCCTCCAGTATGAAGCACCTCCATACTAGCATGCTTCTTAACTCCCACCTCCAAATACACACACACCTTTAACCAGTGATATTGGCAAATTTATATCATTTTCTTTCCATGCCAAGTGCTCATTGTTTATTTTTCTGAAGTGCAGGAAAATGCAATGAAAAGATAACTTTAATAAACTCAATGGAAAACAAATTAACTTGTGTGGGATCATTTTTTTTCTTAATTATATCTGTATCCTGGAAATAATTTTCTAATTTCTAATTTGGGAAGTTTCTACTTTCCCAAAGCTGAATCTTCGAATATCAGAATTTTTCCCCCTCCTTTTGCTGATATTGTTGCCCAGTAGAAAATATTTCCAGCAGTGTGTTGCCCTTTGGTGTAATTTATTCATGCAAGCTGAATAACACACTGACTCAGAACGGGGAAGCCACCTATTGATTCATCAGCATGGCTTTTGGGAATACATGAGATATTTGGCCAATAAGCTTGGCATCATGCTGAAGCTGCTTCACAGTAAATAATTGACATAGTATGATGTCCAGAATGTTTTAAAGGAAAGGTTGTATTGTACACGCACACACAAAGAATTTATACTTACATATTTATATCCCATATTTATTATTTTTATAAATAATGTAAGGCAGTGACTATATACATTACTCTTTCCTCCTCCTATTTTCCTCACAAAAACCCCGGTTTAGCTGAGAGAGAGCAACCAAGTCAAATTTGCCTAGCCAATTCTCCTGCTTAAGGAGGGACAAGAATTTACTGTCTCCAGGTTTCTAAGCCTGGTGCCTTCAGACGTCTTCTTCATTTACCCAAAAGTCTCCTGAATTTCACCCAGACCCAGAAATGTTTTCATGAGGAGCAGGAGCTTTCAGCTACACAGTTCAGATGAAAGCAATACTTGTCACATGTTTAAAAAGAAGAGCAAGAGAAAGGGAGATAAAATCATTAGCAAATTATGGGTGAATGAGGGTACACGGTGCCAGAGATATCATGCTGGAAAGTGCAGCCTTATCATTTCATAATCAGCAGAGGCCAAATCAATTGGCTGTTTGTTACTTGACAACATTTGAAAGTATGATGAATGTACAGATCAATCTATATCCAGTTGTGTCCATATGACATTCATTATTCTTCCTTTTGAAGGCCGCTTCTCCAACTATAGGAACGTTTGTAAATAATTTTACAACTGAGAAATATTTTGAAATAAGACATTTGCAGACCCCATGAATTATGTGCCATTGTACTTGAATAGAAACCTGTGAAAAGATTTCTGCAGCAAGCCTAGTGACAAGTAACTCGTGAAGAAATGTATTAAATTATATAAGGGATAGGGTGAGCAAACAGCAGGTGACAAATTGATCAGAAGGAAAAGGAGATGATACACACTATGGACTCCAGAGTCTTTCCATCAGCAATGAACAGAAGTAATACATATAATTTAGAAATGGGTTGTTCATACTTGGAATGTCTGTCTCTTTATTTTTACTGTAAGCCTTCTATCACCATTTTGATGCTGTGATTATTATGGAATACCTGAAAGTATCTTCCATATCACTTGTATGCTTCATGTTTATTTTTTTCTAAACTTTGCTCCTTACTCCTAATTCTTGCTAGTTTTACAAATGGAAGTATGGATAAGCTCAGTGGAACAAGTATACAGTTTCTAACAGATCAATGTCTGCTATCTAATTTGTAGAAAGTCAGTCTCATATGTATGCTTCATTTGATATCTGTACATTAGGCTTAAGTAAGTGCACGTTTATCCCTAAAAGGCTTTTGTGACTATTGAATTTGTAGCAATATATCACATAGTATTAGTTGATGTGATAGTGGTTGTGGGTAACATAATAATGACTTGGAATCTTTCCATGCCATTACCCACGTAATGTAAAGTGGAATTTAATAAATGTAGAATCTAATGTGTCTCTGATGCTATATTTGATATTATGTTGTTATTTGTGCTTTATATAGCATCAGAGAACATTAGATACTACATTTATTAAATTCCAGTTTACAGGGAGTTATGGCATGGAAATATTCCAAGTTATTATTTACGTTATTTGCTTGTTTGTGCTTTAGAGTGATGTAGTGGCCTAGTGGTGAAGATGCTCGCCTCCCACTCGGAAAGTTGAGAGTTAGCAGTAGCGGCAGATGTTTTTCTCTTAAGGCACAAAGAAAAAATATCTGCTGTGAACTTTGCATGGTGTCAGGAAGGGCATCCGTCCAGTAAACACTCAGGTCCATCCAGTTGCCCTGACTCTACCCTGAATTCAGGGATTACAGGATTATAAAAAGGCAGTTGTTATTTGTGCTTTAGCCTCATTTTTAAATTTTAATATGGACTGCTCAGTCTCCACTTCAACTGGAGCAACCATACTTACATAAAATTTCTCTTCTCAGGGGCCCTACTTTTTAAAAGATGCTGATATCTTTCCCTGTTGCCAGTTGTCAATACAGATATGAAAATCTCACTATAAAACAATAAGAACAATAGAAATCTTCCACACAAAGGCAAGGAACAATAACAGTCAAGTTCTCACCTCCCCCATTTGTATAGGCACGATATGGAAATCTCCAAACATTCCCCAATCCAACGCAGTAGCCAATACAAGACAAAAGGAAATCCAGCTTGCCTGTCCAATTTCCTCTGTCTTCAGGATATTCGGTCTCTAGGTCACCATCTCCTTGGTCACTAGGTGTCATTAACAAGTCTGGAATGACTGGCTGATAAGAAAGAGATAGAGAAATGCAGAGGAAATGAAAGAGTCACATGAAAAAAGGGCGAGGGGAGAGGACAAGGCATATTTCAGAGCAAGGAGATGATGGCTTTCAACGTATTTAGTATCTAACAGAAGCTAGAATGAGGTATACAAGTCCTTATTTCATAGGTTCACTGAACCAGAGCTTTTCATATTACTTAGTATGTATCGTGAAGTGAGATTGGTAGCAAAGAAATGTAATAATAAATAAAAGTGCATCCTTCGGTCTTGCACTACCTTGTAAATTGCATGTGTAAATCAGCCATCACAGCTGGGAGGTAGGGTTCAGCCATCAGGTAGGGTTTCATCTCCATTCTCACATCCCACCAATATTTCTTCTGTCCATAAAGCCAATTTGTATATTTCAGATGTGACTCTCGAAGTCTGCTTCACAAAGCTGACAGCCTTTACAGCAAGCTCTCCAGTACCACGGAAAGCTCTTGGCAATTCTCACAGCCCAGCTGCTTCTAAGTCAGAGTGTGGATTATGTGAACTGACATAACCACACAGAGCTTTAGCACAGTGCCAGAATCTGTGCAGGCACAGTGACTGGCAAAGGAGCATCCACAACCACATCAAGAAAAGAAAAGGAGTTATTAAATATTATATAAAAGCAAGACTCTTTTTGAGAATGCTTATATTGTCATCTCATTGAAACATTTTAAATGCTACTTTTATCCTATCAGATTAAGTTGTGTAGCCATACGTTTGGCAATCCAACAAATAGTACTAATTTACCCATTCTGATATTTTTTTGTATGAATAGCAATAGCAATAACACTTAAATTTATATTCCACTTCACAGTTCTTTGAGCCCTCTCTAAGCAGTTTACAGAATCGGCATATTTCCTCCAACCTCATTTTATCAACCTCAGAAGGATGGAAGGTTGAATCAACCTTGAGTCCATCAGGATCAAACTCCTGGCAGTGAGCAGAGTTAGCCTGTATTCTAACTACCACCAGAGTTCTAGTAAAATATCTAGAAATAGTAGTTGATAGCAGAAGGAAAATTTTCCAAGGACTTACCCAATAACCTTAGACAAAACATCCACAATTCTGCAGTCTCAAAATATGAGCAACAGTGCCCATAATTCCAAGTTGGATACTCCTTTAGGAAAGGCTTTATGAGAATATACCTTCCAGGTGTTTTAAAAATGTAAATGCACTTGTCCTATTTAAGAACAGCCCAACTAGCTCTGCCTTTAAAATGTTCCTCCCTGCCTCCTTTTCATGGCTATCAACTACATCTTCTCAAGAAGCTGCCTCATGGGTTCCATCTAATCTGGAAAATGTACATATAGATAGATTTGCTTGGATTTTTTTTTCATTCTTGATATGAATAACTATGGGCACTTCCATGTCATCATTTCTACAACCTCTAATATCCATCTGCACTATCCTAAAAATGCAAGATGAGTCAATGATTCTTTGGGTGGCCAAAAGGGAAGCACTCACACGCACACACACACACACACACACATACACTTAATGTTCATCGTACAACACCCTTAACTCTTCTCACAAATGATTTAAAGAAAAAAGACCTATTGATGGGGGACAATTCAGTTATCCCTTCTCATTAGATGAAGCTTGGTAAAACAGCGATGTGGTACGACAGCTTGTTAGATTCAATAGAGACTGAGCAGAACTAAAGAGCAGGAGACAAGAAGGGGCAATATTCCATCAAAGGGATCCAATGTTACCACTGTCTTTGCACACTGCTTTCACACCTAAGGGGAAACTGATGGATTACTAGCCAAAGAGCAATAATGCTGTGAAACTGCTGTGAAACTATGGCTGATTTAGGTGGAACCCAAAACGCTTGTGTAGAAATGCTCTCTGGTTATCTAAGAATGACCCACTGTAGATGTTTAGAAAATAGCTAAAATCTATATTGGTCATTCATATATTCCTTAGAGACAATTCCAGGCTGAATTCTGGAAGTCTGGTGAGCTCTGACCTAATTTAAGCATTAGCTCTTCTTTTTCACAAGTCATTCTCTTTTCACTTACCACAGTTATAGATGCAAAACTTATTTTGCTCAGTTTCCATGGAAACAATGAAGAAAAAGTTAACACAGAAAACTGGCCCTAATAGTGGAGCACTATTAAGTCTTTTCCCACAAGGCTTGAGTTAGGTGGTGTCAAGCCTCTTACATGATTTTATTTGTTATTCTAAGTGCTCTCTCTTCTGAAAGTACATTATTCTTTTCTTTGTTTTATGGTTCATATTATTTTTAATAACATATGCCACTCAGCATCTTTATGAAGTTCAGCAACTTTTAAATTTGACAAATAGCTAAATAAACTTCCTCTACTCTGTTTTTGAACTATAAGTCAACAACATCTACTTTTCTTCCCCACCTCCCAAGCATTTCAAAGCCTAAGTATACATTTTTGAATATTCAGATACTATCACATCTTCTATGACTAAATTATGTGGAAATGCCGCTTTAGAATACTAGTTCTATTTCTGATTTTTTAAAAGTGGAATTAGATTATAGGATACATTTTTATCTTACATATATTTCCCAATGATTTTCCACAAATATTAGTCATGAACAACAAGGAACGTGTTTGTATCCAAAAGGAAAGAGGAACTAGCAGTCATGATAATTTACAAGGGGACACTTAACTGCTGGTGGATTCAACCTTCAACCTATTTGCCAGCAAATTCCAGGAAAAAAATTACCATCAATTGTCAAGCTGGGTTATTCTAGAGTTTTGATTTATGATGCCAAAATTTAATATGAATTGTTTGTTTGTTCATTTGTTTGTTTGTTGTGCCTTTGAGACAGACAGCTTTGATTTTTCAAAACTGCCTAGATTAATCCTTGCAGTTTTCTTTAAAAAGTTTTTAGGAGTGATTCAACGTTGCCTTCTTCCTAGGTCTGAGAGAGAATAATGGTTTTAATTATTGTTATATGTTACAGAGATTATAATTACGTTTGCATTATTGTTATACCATTTATTCTTTTATGATTGTTGCTCTGAGCTGCTTAGGACTGAAATTGATTGAAGCAGCATAAAAGCATATGAAATAAATAAATGCTGCTTTTATTATCATTCAGCTGAACCTCTTTTCCTGTAACTTAAAGCTATTGTCCTGAACTCTTAAATTTAACACTCTGGAATAATAAAGACTGGTTCAGCTTCTAGGATGTCTGTATCACAAACTTTCTACCGCCACAGACCACTGAATAAGCTTCCAGAATATGTGATATCACCCAGTTAAGCAATTCTTTCAAATTTAATAACATGGGGAATTCACATTTTGGGTGAATAAGAAAGGGATTTTTGTTGCATTTGTATACGTCTTCCTGTCCCTTCCATTGTGAACCTAAATCTGAATCCAAATTATGACATCCAAAAATAAGTATTCACCATTTGAATTATTTTATGAATCCTCTGCTACAGGGGTGTTAAACTCAGGGCCCGAGGGCCAGATCCTGCTTGCGGCGTGCTTAAATCTGCCCACCGGGGCCAACCTGAAAACCCTGAAAACAGTGAAGGACTGGTCCATGGTGCCTCTGCCAGTGAAAACAGAGCTCAGGAGGGCCGTGGGCAGCCCTCCCAAGGTCTGTTTTCATTGGCAGAGGGTTGCAGGAGGCCATTGCAGCTGAAAATGGAGCCCGAGAGCCTATTTTCACTGGCACAGCAATTGGGCAACCACAGACATCCCTGACATGAGTAATGTTGACCTGGCCATGCCCACCCCAGCCCCCTGAGGTCAAAAACAACCCAGATGCGGCCCTCAATGAAATCTAGTTTGACCCCGCTCTACTACAACAAGAACTCTTTGCGTTATTTTTTCTGGTCAAGGAAACAGAAATCTCTGAGTATCAAGCTCACTGTGCGTGAGTTTGGTAGCCATATAAATTTGTTTAATAAACATGTATAGAGTTGCATAAAGTAGGATGGGTGTCAATGGCTAATGGGTGTCAATGGCTAATGACAAAACATGTAACACAATGCTGCAACATAACTCTGCATTAATTTCAATATACACCACACTGTCACAGGTGTCACATCAAGACTTCACAATGTTTATTTATTTATCTAAGCAATTCTCAGCTTGCTACATATGTCCCACATATGTATTGTATCCCTCACCTATAAAGGGGTGGCTTTTTCTTTCCCACGCACACATTTAAAACAAAGTTCTTTCACTTACGGAAAATGGACTTTTCTATGCATTCCATGGACTCTCACTTTGTAATAGTCAAACCTATCAGCACTTTGAAGTCAGCTAGACCAACAAAGAGATGGGACAGGAATCCCAGGAATGCTGAATATAATCCTGAAAGCCTATCATAGTTTCTCTCTGCCCCATCAAATATGAGCAACATTAAGGTAGGATTATCTTGAGTTTCTTTCTAATGCTTTTCTCTTTCTCAGGACTGAGAAATCTTTTTGAAAGTCCTCTTTAATCATTTGCTCATTTCTTGTCTATTCCAAAGGCCATGCTAGCTGGGGAATTCTGGGAGTTGAAATCCACACATCTTAAAGTCACCAAGCTTGAGAAACATTGCCATAGGCAAATTTACATAGTTAAAAAGCTACGTAATACAGAACACATTTTCAGGTACATTCTCCGTATGTTGCATTTAGTTCCCCACAATGGCTTCAACCCATTTGAAGATTCCTAGGTCTCAAGAAAGCCAGAATGAAGAAGGCTGCCAAATGATATGCAGGTGGGCATTATCAAGGTTTCTTTGTGATTTTGCACAGTAGTATGAAAAAGTCACAGATATTCATCTTTTTCGAAAAACATAACCTTAGAGACACTTTCCAAAGGCAAGTTGCACTATAAAACAGTGACGCTGAGTTCTGAGCAAACATACATAAGATTGTACTCAACAGCAGTTTGGAGTGTAGAGGACAGAAATTGGCAAGGAAGGAATTGGATTTTAATGTAGATGCTAATAGATCTAATCATTGTATCTTTTATGACTATGTAACAAAG